AAGTTCATGGAGGAGAAGATACAGTCAATGGAAGAGACAATGTGTTAGATAACCATAATACAATTTTAATAATTAAAAAACTATTTTGTTTTAGTTGATATTTTTTTAAATGGAACAAATGTGTTAATTTGTTTATATTTTTAAAGAAAATCAATTAAGTTTAACTTTTTCTTATCGGAGAAGTAAATATTGGCAATTTTTCTAAATAATTTCTGTGATGTTCAAAATTTTTTTTCCCTTCAAATTTTAGGAAAAAAATGGCAAAACCGAAATGTAAAAAAAGAAAGCAATCAAATGCAAAAGAGAAGAGAACAGAAAAAACTTAGTATGAGACAAGCTAGACAGAAATTACAAGAAAACCCTATATTGTTTGAAGAAAGTGAAAAAAAAAGAGCAAGAAACTTTAAAATATGTATCAGAAAAATATTTAACAGAAAAATCAGGATTAAATGTACTTAAATTTCTAGAAATTGATAGAGCAAACCGTTTGTACCCAGGGAAAAAAGAAACAATAACAAGAAGAAAAGAGAAAAAACAAAAACGTTATTTGGATGACAGTTTAACTTGCATAAAATGTTCATAAAAGAATACCCTCAATACTCAACTTTCATGTGGAGTTTGAATTTTTATTTCAATAATCTTTACATTTTAATTTATTAATATTCAGTAAGAGTTACTTAAAAAATTGTACACCTAGGTTAAAAATGGATGTTTCCTTTCATAGCAACATGATTAATCGGAAGTAGCTCTATCTCTAATAATGAAATATTTTATTATTTACTTATTAATGTTAAACTCATATTAGTTGTACCCAATAATTAATGAATCAGTCTTCATTGACATTTTATAACATAAAATGTCTCCTCCGTTGACTATTACATCTCCTCCGTGGACAAGGCAGAATTTAAAATGTTTTAAATCTTGCAAAAAATAAAATAGAAAACTTGACCATTATTATAAGGACATATAACAAAAATAAATAAAGGCATTTATGTAATTTTTATCACTTTTTTAATTATTTTAATTTAAGAAAATTTTTTAGTCTATTTATACGTTTTCAGTGAGAATGACCCAAAGTTACTTAAGTATTTCTGCATTTAATTTCAGTGAAAAAAGAAGTGGAAGAAAAAATATTGAATTAAGTAATTTGAATATTTTTGAATTATTACTTCATTGTATCAATTATTACAAAAAAGGACAATTTAAAAATTCAAAAAAAGTTTTTTAGGGTTTTGAGAAATTTTTTTTTTTTAAAGTTAAAATTCCAACTTATTTCAATTGCAAATATAACTTTATAATTATTTTTTACATAATTTTTCATTATGTAATTTCAGAATATGAATACTGTATGGTAATTGTGAAATTACAAATCGCTGGAGAAAGATAAGAAAAGAGCTAATGAAATTTTCTCATTTCTTAAAAAATAAACCCTTCATATTGTAATTTTACCGTTCACTGTAGTTACGGATAACCGGAAATTCTGCTTTTCAAAATTATAGTTCCTCTTACGATATATTTAGCAACAAATACAAACTTCAAAAATAAATGTAACCAAATAACTGTCTCTTGTTTTCACGATGAAATAAACAAAATGACTTACCATTGATTAGGCAATTGTAAAATTTTGATATCTTTTCCTCTTATCAAATAGAAGAGTAATGCAATTTTTCTTATTTAAAATGACACTTAAATGGTTAATAGGAGTATTCTAATATGAAGTGATAACACTTAGAATAAGGGAATGATGGTTTCCACAAGACATTCCAGAAGTTGAATAAATTTTAATGGAATTGTATTTTGGTAAAAATTGTTTCAGATAATAAGAATTTTCTACCTAATCCAAAGCATTATTGCAAATAATGTTCCTTTAGAGACAGTGTATTATTAAGGTAACCTTTAAACCAGGGATTTTGTGACACTGCGAAATAACCTATAGAGTTGTCACTCGATATATAGGCCCCATATTGACAGCATTTAGGCGATCTATTATCTCAACATTGGTCTCTCGGTTCATATAGGGACCATATTGATCCGATTTTGAGCCCAACTGGGGTCACATTTCTTTAAAAATAGCCTCAACATGTAAAGGTTAACAGTAGTTTACTTATAAGTATAGTTTTAAATGTACGTTTCGTTTAACATTTTTTTTTTTAAATATGCTATCGGGACAACTTTTAAACCGAGTAATTAATCTTCAATATAAATATATATTTCAGTCATAACGAAAAATAATTATTTATAATACGTAAATTATAGATTTCGTTACTCCAGATGATCTGGAGTAACGAAATCTATAATTTAATTTTGGAAGATCTGGACCAGATCTTCCAAACTTGCAGATTCCTTCTTTTTTCATGACATTAATTATAGTTATATACTGTTCTAAAAGTGCTGTTCTTCTCAGTTGTTCAGTATTTTTAAATAAGTCTGCATTGTATAATAAATTCAAATTTGATTTATTAAATTGTTTGACTCTGTAAGTTTTGATGGCAACAAATGTCGATGCTATGTTTATAATAAAACTTCAAAAATATGGATTTTTTATTCAATTTAAATTAATTATGTTACATAATATAATAAAAAAACAGACTCATTGAAATATCGTATATTGTTCTGATGTACACTCGCTTAAGATGAACAAGTAAAACCTATCCTTGCAAGAGAATCTGACGTTCTTGGAAACATCCCTGAGGATGATCCAAAGACATCACAATTTTGATCCTCTGTAGAAGCTCCTCCACTTTGGTAGCTTCATGACCTGAGAGCGAATTTAACTCTAGAGATGTCCCTCTTAAGAAATTACTTACATTATATAATTAGAAAAAAAACTGGAGCAGCATATAATTTTCTCTTAATTTTAAACTCTTTAGAGATAAATTTTTTATCTGCTAGCATAATCATTAAATTTTTATCTGATTGCATTATCAGGATGCATAATTATTACTCTTGACCTTACAGCAAATCGAATAAAAATAAACTTATTTCAACTTTTTTATTTTGGTTGCAAATCTCTGTTATTACATGTAACAACAGTTTAGAAGACATACACGATCCTCAGTATGCATGTGAAACTGTTTATTATTGTTTTATTTGCATACGAAGAATAGCGTGTTTATTACTGTCTTTATTTTTTCTATCTGTTTATCGACTTGAGAAGGGCCTATTAGTCTAGTTTTGTAATGAGCACACAAGCCTGTGTAGCAAGAAATAAATAAACGTAACAAATAAATAGCATAAACAAAAATAAATAAACATATATAAATAAATATAAATAAATAGAGGCATCAAATATAATGATGGGATGTGAACCCACTACCTTTACGCTTCCATTTTGAGATGTTGGATTAGCCCTGATGTAGCAATTTTACTTACCCTAATGTAGTATTTATTTAGTAACAGTTAAGTTATTGATTTGGTTCAGCCTTGTCCAGGCATTTGTACATTTACAAATGCATATTTTTTAATAATTTTAAATGTTGGTACATGTTAACTTATAGCTTACATAGGAAAAAAGAGCAAATAACCGACTAGAAACAAAGTTATTAACAGAATTTATCGAAATGAACATTTTTGCGGGTTCTCAAACTATGCTAACATTATAAAAATTACCGACTTTTGCTTAAAATTTCCTGATAATGCAGCATTTACCGGAGAAAAAAAATCGTGGTTATGAAAACCATATTTTATTGTTAATTTTAACGAAGAGTGATTATCATTGGTAAAAATTTAATTTTTTTGGTGTTCCCATACAGTATAATGACCATATATGACCAATGACAGGAAATATGACCATATTCTGGTAGTTTTTACCATGTTTTTCTCAGAGTATATTTCAATTTCATGCGTATTAAAATAATATTTTCATTCACATTTTGAAGATGGAACTTTCAAATTAAAATAAATTTGAATGTTATTTTTAGAAATTTATTTCTTAAAATGAAATAAAACCTATATTTTAAAAGCTGTAAATAAATCTCTAACTTATAAAAAGAACGTGAATTGACAGAACAAAAAATAACAAAAACGTTGCCTGCTTTGGAATATAAATGAAGAGGAATTCTGGGATGGGTATTAAGAGATAAAAGAGAATAAAAAGAACATAAATATTAAATGCCTTCTCTTTCCACGAGTCAGAATTGAATAATGTCGAATATAATACAAGCACCACTATCATTCTTTAAGATACTATTTCCAGTATCTTGTAGAAAACTCACATTTAATAATAGAAGCTTTGAAAAGGGAAACGAAACTTCATTTCTTTTTTATGTTGTGTTGTACAAACAGTGGATCTACAAATATACATGGAGGATTTACTATTTAAATTATATGCGTGCTTTTCTAGCTCAGGTGAATAGAAGCGCTGTTATTTCAGGTTATAATGTTGAAATGCATCAATGTGAAACCCTAAGAGTGATACTTAATGTAATTATAATAAGAAAATATAAAAGATAAAAGCATTAAAGAAATTACAAAAAAATTACTTTTTAAATATTTCAATCAATTTAATTACAATATTTTCGACAAAATGCTTTTATAAGAAGTGTTTGCGTGTGTTCTATAAACTAAACTATTCTTTGTCGAAATATTAAATTAAATATATGAAAAATGCGCAATTAGGAAGAACATATCAATATAATTGAAAGAAAAATTATTTTAAATGAATAAAGTGAAAATTAGACAAAGAGGACGCTATTTTTAAAATAGCAGAAATTAGTTATTTCATTCACTTACTTTCATGAAATGTATAACTTTATTTTAACTAATAAATACAAAAACTATTTTAAGTCAATAAGTTACACCCACACACACACACAAATATGTATATTTATATATACAGCTATACTTCACAATTCAAAATTTTTTCGACTATTTTTAAATAAAATAGTGAAAATGAGGAATACTTTTCAATTCGGTTTAAAAGTTCTCGAGATGTGGCGAAATACGCAAAAAATAAAATTAGCATTAAGGCCTTCAAACTTTGAACCGCTATCCTNAATATTTTCCAAAAATGGTTTGGATACCATGGTACCTTTACAAGAAGGGGTAATTCTTGTTAAAGCCAAATATAAAACGAATCTGACGCAATCTGATCTAATAAGAGTCAACAGAATGTGTAAGTGCGAAGTTTAAATACTGTTAATTTTGCTATACTTATTATAAAAGCAAAATAAAATCATATGAGAATATAACATTGTTATCTGTTCTTATATTGGGTGTTTATAGTTGAATTCCAAATTGGGTAAAGCTTCTCAGCAGTGAAAAATATATAAAGGTTGATGGAAAACTATTTTCGGTGAGATACCGGCTCCGCTATCTTTCGAATAGAGTATCATACTTAATTCTATGTATAAAAAGCCGATAACTTCCTGTATTTAGGTTATAATTATTAACTCTGTATTGGGCAGAGTCTCTTAACAGAGCAGGAAATTTACCGTTTTAAGAAACACAGTTTCCGGTATCATTTCGGATTTAGTGTCACACTAAAATCTTTTTTTACAAGCCGATATCATGTTAGGTTCCCTATTTCACCAGAATCATAGTTTCATGAGACAGAATCAAATTGGTTCAAATATGCTGAATTCAGTACGTTTCCGGTTCCACAATAGTAAGATATTGGTCCTGGTGCATTGCCAGTATCAAACTGTACGGTACTTTTATTTACATCGTACTAGAGCTTCACAATGGGCTATTGGTGACGACGGTCTGGGAAAAATCCCTGAGAATAATCCGGAGACAACATACATACGTCACATCCCGTTTTACAGGGAGGACATATTCACACATCATTCATCCGTAAATCCTAATTTTGTCTGGAATCAGAACACAATCAATTTCCGATCTAGTACCTCAGAGGTTTTAATTTGTTATGGGAACTTGGAGGACTTTGTGAGCCCGACAGATTTAGCTTGCACCGGTCACCATTTATGACATAGGTTGTTTTTGGAGCTGCAGGGATCGAACTGATGACCTTTAGGACATGGGCTTACTTGCCTACCAGCCAAGCTATCTCGGACCCATTAAGAAAGTTTTAGGAATGTGAATAAAAAATAGTTTCGATTCGCTTCATTAGTTCCGCTGATATAGCAAAATAGACAAAAAGTAAAACAACCCAAAATTTCTACCGCTCTCCTGCATAAATTATTGGGACCATATTGTACGTGATATTGCCCCCGCTTAAACGATATCTGATGCGATGAAGCCAAAGATTGTATATAAACGGGACGTGTATTCGTCTTTACCAAAATTTTTCTACACACGCTGAAGTCAAAACTAAAAATTCCATAAAATATTAGCTCAAGCTGAGGATAGAACTCAAGATGATATTGAAGTTCAAAATTCCGCTCAAAAATGTAATACATCTTAGTTGACAATCCCACCTAATAGACATCTAGTTAAATTTTCAATTTGTAACGTTGCTAAGTTAACAACTGTTAACCGAGCTTGAAACCCAAACAGAAATATCATCATCAGAAATACCTCATCTTTGCTCTGAATATAAACAAAACCCAGTTCTGAAGCGTGCAACAAACTTTTCTCTTACTCAAAAATATTCAAATAACAGTTTATTAAGTAATATCAGTGGTTAAATCTCTTTCCTTACTTCGGAGATCAAATGCAAAAAATCCTCAGCTGCCATGTCGTATGATTATGCGGCATGTAAAAGATCCCTGGAGTGCCTTATTGGCTCTCGGCATTTCCGGCAAAATTAAATTCCTAGTGCACTTTAGCATCCAAATAGAGTCTCGGTACTGCCAGCTAGTGTGGCAGAAACTAGACGTCCATATTAACATGACCAACGGTATCTCACCCATTGTGGTGATCCTGAAAGAGTGGATACCACCTCTGAAGAACGCACTAGGTCTGCTCATCGGGAAGATTGATTGTGAAGCTCATTGAAAATGAAAAAAAACTTCGGAGATTATCTGTTAAGGCAAACATAAAGATACAAACCGAAACAGTTAAGATACTCCGCCCTATTTGCTTAGTGGATTGACGACCTTCAAACGTGTAAAATTATGGAAGATTAAATTGGTCATTTTTCGAGTTTAAAATTACTCACTTTTTCAACATGATATTCATCAAAGTAAAGATCAAAATCTCCGTTTAAACCATCTCTGCTTAGTGCTTCGAGCAACAGTATTAGAGCAATACCTTTGTAATACTTATCTACTGTGCTTTTCCTGTCTAATAAATCCTTATGTTTTTTTCTTATTAATAAAAATTCTCCAATTTTATTGTTTTGCGTGTGATGTATGCTGTTTAAAAATGAGCTTTAAAAGAGTATGATACAAAATTTAATTTCTTTATCAATTTTTATAATAAATATTTCAGAGAAGAAAAAGAATCTACCGAAAAAGCAAATGAAGTGAAAGGAATTGATTTATTCTTGGTAGGCTGAGGGTCTGGGGACGGACCTAACATTGATTAATCAAAGAGAAAAAAAGAGACGGTATAACAATTTTTTTTTTGCCTTTATTTTATTCTGAGTTTAACTCCCTTAGTATATATCTCGATAGTTTTTTTTTTATATTACCATTAAAAAAAGTTCAAATTTTTATCTCAGGTCAGACTGAGAGTCCAATAGTTAATATATATAATCCTTGTTTAGTAATTTAGACATTTTAGTAAAAGTAAATCCTAAATAATGTTTATGTCTTATCTTAATATCACTGATTGAATCAACGTTTCCTTACATTATTTTATGTGGATAATATTTGTTCAAGTGCAATATTGAATAATTTTTCTGAAAAGTGTATCGTTTCTTTTACTTCTTTTCATACATAAAGGTTCTTTATCCATTTGCTCTTGCTATCAAAGACACTTTAGGAAATGTCACTATAAATGAAGATAAGGACAAAAAGCATCTGAATATCAGGTGAAATCCCTACTTAATACTTCATACATCAATCGTATTTAACTGATAAAAAAATACTTGAAATAAAATAAAAGAATGTTTCACTATAACTTGATTGTTGTTGGCTGATACAATGGTTGGTTTATTTTTCAACTTTGTTCCTTTTCTAACTTAACAGATTATAATTTACAGCCAAAATAAGCACTTAGAACTAAACATTCTTAAAAATTGACTGATAAAATTATTTTGAACATTTATTTGTGCTGTAAAATACATATATAGCAATTAAGTAGCTACATATAGCAAAACATAAATATAGATTAATCTAGCTAAATCATTAGTCTTACTGTTTATTTATAAGAAAAAATATATATTAATATTTTTTTACGAGTTGAAACAGTAAAGAAAAAATATCTTGTTACCATCGGAAATTGTATGTACCATGGGGCATTGTATTTTCAGCCCTGTCAAATAACTTAAAGAATATTAAAAAATGTCCTTTTTTATTTTTTAGAAAGAGGTATTATTCTACTCTTTATTATCTTACAACAACTACTTTATCTTTATTATTATTATTATTATTTTAATTCTAGTTCACACATTCACACAGTTGTACGAATTCCATTCTCCATTTAAGTTTTTTCTCTGGTTTTCGCATGTCGCATCAACTGTCTCTAAAATGTTAATTTAACTTAATCTTCATATTTTAATGTGTACATTTTCAATGGGAGAGCTATTTAATTATTTCTACTACTACAGAAAAATACTAGTCTCTTTTTAGCAATTTGCTGTAAAAGAAATTTGCTATAAAAATGTTTCGTTTTATGTAGGTTTGAGTTTTTTAGTGATAACTCTGTAAAATTTTAAATTTATTTGATAAGTTTCAAAGATATGTAGTTAGGACTTTTTAATAAAAATATGCATTGTTTTGAATTGGCTTTGAATTGTTTTGAATTTTGCAAATTTTTAAAAAATTTTTAACATCTGATATCACTGTACCGATATAACTTATATCACATATACATCACTAAAAATAGAATTTTGCACATTTCCTTCCATATTTCTGAGGAACCTCTTTCAATAGTTTTGAATAATCATATTATGGTATAAAGTTTGTATTGAGATGAAGATGCATCTATAACTTCAAATGAGAAATAATATTTAATTTTATTTCAGTATAAATTTAAATATAAGACAAATTGGTTTCAGTTTTGAATGAAGGCAAATGCAACGAGATGTGCAGTGCACCAACTAAAGAAAAGAAAGAAAAGGTCCTTTTCGAATAACTTTTGATCTAATAATCTGGTCTTCACAATCGAGAGGATAACCTCAAATAAGTTAATTAATTCTAAGATGATATTTTAAGTGACGAATTCGAACACAAAACATACTTTCTCTGCATAAGCATGCCTTTTTTTTTTAACGCATTCGTGTTTTTGACCCCAAATATGCAAGGGATAGTTTGCAAAAATGCAATTTGGGTAATATGATCCTCATAGTTTGGTCAGGAAAGTAGTCTGGACAAGGCTTAGACATCTCAAAGTTAATTTTATTTTTTGCGTATTTTGAAATATCTCGAAAACTTTTTAAGAAAATTGAAATTTTTTGCGTACAATTATAAAACTCATTTACCCAAAGATAATTCTACTCAAAAATAAATTTAAGAAAATGTTTATTACTTTTCATTTTTCTTGTTTAATAATGGTCTAAAAAAACTCTGTGAAATCGGATGAATAATATCTAATTTTGAAAAAGTAATAATGATTTTGAATTAAAAACTTTTGCACTAAAAAAACTTCACTATTATTTATAAAGTTTTTCTTTCATTTGGTTAACAGTTTACCATTCCCTTTCACGAATGTCCGTCAGTTTGAGAGCTACATCACCCGCACCTGGAATCCTCAGAATAGCCTCCAGACTTTAGTGGCACCTAAAGTGATCACCAAAAGGGGAAAAAATTGAACCTATTGACTGTGACGATATTGTTTTGAAGAAAAAAAAAGCAGTTATACACAACACAAAGAAAGAGAAGAAGGCCGGCAACGATGCTGTAAAGGCCTTCTGATAAATACTATATATTTTATTTATTTTTGTAAGCAATAAATGCTAATTTTATTTGGATTTTTATTTATTGAAAAAGAGCGACATTGATTGGTGATTACAAGTTTGAAACAGTTATAATTTCGATAACGTTAGATTTGCAATACTGCCAACTCTACTGGATTTTGCAAGTTTTTCCAGGTCTAATGGTTTAATAAAAATTCATTTTATACATTTTAAAAAAATTCCCTAAAATTGAGTAAGTTTCCTTAAAAAATCCGAATAGAAAAAGAATTTTTTTTGCTGATTATTGCTTGCTTGAATATTTAAATAAGTGTCACTAATACATAATAAAGTGAGCCTCATTTATAAAATTCCGTTAACATATGCTGTGGAAATGAGAACTTTAACCAAGAAAATTAACTTGGGTTATTTTCCTATAAGATCTAATAGTGTGTGGTTGAATTATATAAAATATGCAAAGAAATAGATACAATTCAAAACAGATGAGTGACTGATGATGTTTAAAATGACTTTTTTATTTTCTGTATTAAAAATTGGACTATTATTGTATCAAGAAGAGAAGTCGGGAAAGTCTTTGCCCCACACTGGCATGTCGGGACAACAATGATGCTGATGAAATGGAAAATATATTTCACGCAAAAAATATGGGTAATTAAAACGTGGAGTTTTAGTAAAAGTTTGAATGTGCAAATAAAAGTAGTTTAAAAGAAACTTTAAAGTAGTACTTTTTAAAAGATAAATTTTTGTAAAAATTAAAAAGAGTTTTAAAGAAAAATCAAACGAGTAGTTTCAGTAATATTTTTCTAAAAACGCAATTTAAAAGAAGTAGAAGAATATATAGAAACTTCAAAATGTAATTAAAACATCAGGTAACTTTTCACAAGATATGTTTTTTCACAAGATATGTACCGAGCAGTTCAGGATTAACAGTTAAGGATTTCCAAGATGAAAACACTATGGCGATCACAATTTTCTTTATTTTGCAGTGAATGGCATTTTAAATTTTTTTAGTTTCTTTTATTTATTTAATTTCTTTTCTGAATTTCAGGCACTGAATTTATTGTTCTTCGTCGTGGAAGATGACGGAGGTGTTGCTCATTTTGCGTTGCCTGGTGACTACGTTGTGACGAAAGTCACGGAAGCGAGCAACATTACCAACGCCATACTGTTAGATACCCGTTCACTGGCATAACCATAATTTACCATATTTTCTAAATGTTAATGTCAAAGGCTAGCCACATTCACACATCATACACAATAGAGGAAAATACACAGAGAGAAACAATCATGCCCTGCGCGGGATTCGAAGGCCGGCTCTTAGTATTTAGTAAAAAATTTTGAATCGATTTTGCTAAGTACAATTGCGAAAAAGAATTGTTTTGGTCAAATTTAAGCAAAAAAATAAATAAAAATTGAAAAGAAAAGAAAGGAAAAAACGTAACTACGCACTGAGTTGTTTTGAACTTACTATTTTACACTCTACCTTTGAGTTATGATAGTGAAATTAAAAATCCTTTAGGACAAATTTCTTCATAGTCAATTTCACTTCATAGAAAGAGATTTCACTTTTAGAGTGATTTCACTTTCAGAGTGATATCACTTTCAGAGTGATTTCACTTTCAGAGTGATTTCACTTACAGAATGATTGTACTTTCAGAGTGATTTCACTCTCAGAGTAATTTCACTTTCAGAGTGACTCCAAAACAAGTGCTACTTTTCAAAGTTCAGATGTTAATCGGATTACAAATAGTATTTAAACAGGGAATTTTCAGAATTTGATATTAGAATTTGTAGTATGGCTTCATGCACAATTCAATTGTTCACAATGCAAGCCTTTTACTTCCTAGTCATTTTGACCACTGCTTTTGCTCTTCCGTTTCCAAAAGAACATAACGATGGTGCAGTTAAAACGTTTCGTAGTGCTAGGGAAGGTAAGTTTTGTTTCAGTAAAAAAATTTCTCTTAAGTGTTAATGAAATCAACAAATTATTAATGTGAGCATTTTACTTAAGATAATTATCGATGAGCGTTTCATTTTGGAAAGAGCTCGAAATGCGTGTTTAAGAAAAAGGAAACAGCAATCTGGGAAATATGGTCCCAATAGTTTGGTCAGGAGTGCGATGCAAAGTTTGGACCACTTAATGTTAATTTTACTTTTTCGTATTTCTCTATATCTCGAGAGCTTCTTAAGTGAATTGAAAAATTTTGCTAACAATTATAAATATCCTTTATCGAAGTATAATATCATGCGAAAAATACTTTTTTGTAAATAATTACTATTGTTTAATTTTGAATTGTAAGGTACACAATTTTTTGCATAGTTTAAAAGAATATAATTTTACAATTCAAAATACAAAATTTGGTGAATATTTCACCACTTGAGTTTCTTGGGACTATTTTAACGGAAATAATTATTCTTATTATTATTTTTGCAGCGCGTGTGTAACTATTAAAAACAGAAAAAAGCTCTATTTATCTTTTAACAGTTTTTCTGTAAGAAATAAATTTTGTTTGTAGTATCTAGTAATTTTTTCAGTTTAGCAATTATTGGCTTCAAGTAATTCAACAGAATGGCATTTAGTCTTCTGATTAACACTTTCAGCCAGTTATAACTGAAGGAAGATAACTATGATTAGTGATAGTGACTTAACATTAATATAGTGACTAACATTATTGTAAAAAAGGATTATTTCTTTATAACACAGTAAACAGGAAGAACTATTTATCCTTCATTTCAAGTGAGATGGTATTACACATTATTAGTTTATCTATTGACCATCGGCTTTTATTTACAGTTTAAATTGGCATTTAATGTATAGATCAGATTTAACTAATTGCTTGTGGCATCTGACCTATTCATTAGCATTTTCAGGCAGTTCCAACTGAAAGAAGATTAACTACTATTATTGACTAACATGATTATAGTAAAAAAGTTTTTTTTATGTAAATCTAACATATCCGAGTAAATGAAAAAAAATTATAGGTATAGTAGGACAATCATATCCAATAAGATGTTATTACACATTATTAGTTTATGTACTGGTCTTCGGCTTCAATCTATTAATAGGATTGGCACTTAATGTATAGATCGGGTTTAAGCTATGGCTCGTGACATTTGCATTTCAGTCAGTTCTATCTGAAACAATATTAACTACTATTAGTATTTAACATTGATATTGTAAAAACAATATTTTCTTATAATTCTAACATAACAGAGTTAATGGAAAAAAACATTTATGTGTACAAATTAGAGCAATATTTTCTAACGAGATGTTATTACAAATTATTAGCTTATCCATTAATCATCGGTTTCAATCAATTGTTTGGACTGACATTTAATGTATAGATCGGATTTGACCTATTGCCTTGCATTTAACCTAATGATTAGTATTTTCCGTCTACTCCAATTGAAAGAAGATTAAATAAGATTAGTGATCAACCTTAATATAGTAAAGAAATTTTTTTTTATAAATCTATCATAACAAGGTGAATGGAAAGAAATATTTGTCGGTATAATAAAGCTATAATTTCTAATGATTTCCGATTTAACAATTTTCGCATAATTAAATGTATTCTAAAAATGTTATTTTTAATTCTTACTAATTCAGAACTTGATATACTTGTATATCTATTATATCCAATCTATAGATCAAAATTCTAGAATACCTACCATTCTCAATCAATGAACCAAAAGCTAACATATCCAATCAGAGTGTCAAAAGTTTATTAGTTATTTTGTGCTCTGAATACTTTTCTGAATTAAATAAATTTATCTGTGGAAATTATACAGTTACAGCACAGTTAACATAAAAATTGTTTATCCCCTCATACTTAAAGTTAAGATCAAAAATAATTAAATGAAATCATGCTTTTAAAAAAATTAATTCATTTGATGATTAAAAATCTTGCAATAAGGAAAATAAACTTTCATAAATTTGTTTAAATTTTATATTTTTTATTTGCAACAGAAGCCATGAAAAATCCAGATGTATTTGATGGAGATATGCTTGGAATTGATAGAATGCTCGTAAGTAGACTTCGATAGTGTTATTCCAATTCTTTTTTTCTATTTTTAATGAGTCCAAATAACTTTTTCTTAGTTCCCACCATAAATTAAAAAAATATTTGAAACCTAGAAGAAAAAAATGACCACCAAAAAATGGTTTTTTCCCCTTATCGATTGAAAATATCAAAAGACTTTCTCTTGTTTATTTCATTAACATTCTATTTTGCGCGATTAGAGAAAGTTTAAAATATTTAAAATCTGATCTTATTATTCAATAAAAAAGCAGATGCGTCTATATAAAATCGTTTAATATATCCGTAAATAGTAGTATTAGTTCTGAAACTAGCTCTCAATGTGAACTAATTGCTGCATCTGAGTTGTTTAACTGCCATTTTTTAGTGTACTAAAACGGCAGCATGTAATGCACTTTAGGTAAAGATGGAGTGCCAGTAAAGCATCTAAAATTTACAGTAATCTAATTTAAACACACACACACACACATACACACGTATATATATATATATATATATATATATATATATCAANTATATATATATATATATATATATATATATAGGGATTTTCTTAGGCAAAAGATTCTTAATTGAATCATAATCGCGCGATTAACTTTTCAAAATTTAACTTAAAATTACAAAATTTTAAAAGTTTCTTATGATTTTGGAGCAAAGCATCTGTACTTAAACAATTTACAATAAGTATTTCTCCGAAATGTAAGCTTGTAATTTATGCATAAGTACATCATTTCAATTTTTAGGAAGAAGACAGAAATGGTAGACGAGCAGAAAGGTACAGGTGGCCTAATGCTGTTGTCCCGTATGTTATTCACAAAGACATTGATGGTAACTATTAGTTTTTATTTACTGTTATTTTTAATATTTTACTTTTGTCTTATATTAAAGTATTATGTTACATGAAAAATAACAGTTAACTTGGTTTAGACTAACAGCATAAACTAACAGTAAAAAAATAATATCCTTTAATTTTATTTGTTACTCAGGGTGGAAGGGAGATGGGAAGGGAAGCACTCCAAATTTTACCAACAAAAGTCGATCTTGTTATCTAGTCTGTAATTATCTATGGCACTTTTGTACTAACTATTAAACAAATTTAATTGGCGCTCTTCTTTCAAACTCGGAAATTTTAACTTGGGCCTAAAATTCTTTGCACTGTGTGTATTTATAGGCGTTCACTTTCTTTAAGATTGATTAGGCAAAGCCGGTTCGTATCTTAAGAAAAGAATTAAGGGAATATGTAAAGTCCCTGAACTGAATAACTTTTGAACTAAGGATCGGATTTTTACGAACTACGACTCTATCTTAATGGTTTGAGAGGGTGACCTCAAGTATATTAATTCATTAGAGCAGATGTTACTATAAGTTAAGGAAATTAGACACAAAGCGTACTTTCACTGAATCAAAGTACTTTTTTTTTACTTTTCAGGATGTCCTTTTGGGTATTATTTGACGTTGCCTGAAATGAAGGAATGTGTTTTAATTTTGAAATGGTTTTGGAAATATTTTAATTATGTTTACAATAGTTAAATGAATCGGTTTAAATTCGTCGCAGTCTTATCCGGCATATATGGGTGATTCTCACGAAATATGACATTTCGCTGTCCCTTGCTCCGACATCTAATACTATAATACTAAAAGAACTTTTTTTACTGTTAGCATTTTAAAATGACTTTGCACTAGCATTGACTGTTTTGTATAGTTAAAAAATTTAATTGAACTTCGAAATTTCATTTTTCTGTCAAGTCCCAAACAATGTTTCCAATAATAACTAGCTTCAAAACTTCCCATAAATTTATCAATATATAATTTTTTTTTATCTCAACCGGTGTAAGCATTCCAAGAATATACGCAGAGGGTATTATTTACAAAAATTTCGTTCAAAATAATTTTTTTTGTCAATAATTTTTTTGTCCCAAGAAAATCTGTCATTTTCCTGACTACTTTTATTTAGCGGTTTATAACCAAAATAGATAGAGCCAGCTATCCATATCTTACGTTAATAGATTGATTAGATACCCTCCTATATGAACATTTCTTGTTGCATGAATAAAGAACCAATTTTCTGGTTCAAAATCTATTTCAGAAAATTTTTCAAGGTGAGTAGGTTTTTGTGTTGTCATTTTACTGGCTTCTTGAAATCATTAATAACATAAACTACATAGATTTATCTGAGTTATTTTAAAAAATCCTGTTGTTTTCTGCAGAATATAAACGTCTTAGGCCAAAATATTAAATTAAAGTAAAGTTATATGCTATAAAATGGCGAATTTGTCATTATCCTGGCTGTCATTTTGCTAGCTTATGAATGCCAGGACATTGAAGTGTTACCAGAATTTTTTTTAACTGCTAATATTATAAGGAGGGAAAGCAAATATTAACCTAATACCAAGTTTAGGCATTATTGTAATATGTTTGGATGTAATCAAAGTTATTTATTTATTTAATGATTGATCATTATACACAATTTTATTCTGCACATATCAGCAACAAAACAATTTTTATTCTTTCTACTGTGGATAAAAAGAACTAATTAAAGCAATTTATGGTCCATTTACCATAAAGGCTCAAATTGAGTTACTTACTATTAACTTAAAATGACTGTTTTTTAAACGTCTAGGCTAATATGTCATTTTCCTGGCATTCAAGATTTGGTGAATTTCTATTTTATTTTCTCGAGCAAATGTCAATAAACTACACTGCTGTCTGTAAGATATTAATAAGTGTAACTAAAGAAGTAAAAAAAAAAATTTTTCAGATTATTTTAGACTTTAAATTTGAAGAAATTGTTTGGTCTGAATTGTCATGTTCAAAAAGAATCACCCATATACATGGCCTTATATATACATATACGGCCTTGTACATATATTCTTTGAAGTCGGTGGATCGTAGTAATTGCTTAAAAACTTATTTATGTATGTTAAGTTTTATTTTTTTTCTTCAATTTTTATGTCTTTATTGATGTCCTTTTACTCTTACAGACGAAAAGCGAAGAAACATTTTCGCCGCTTTCGCTTATTATCAGAAAAATACCTGTCTGAAGTTTGTTCCGAGAACTAATGAACATGATTACATTTGGATACATAACGGAACTGGGTAAATATATACTATGGGGCTCAGCCCCCTGTTCACTGCCGCTCACCAACCAGATGATTGTTTCGCAGTAACTGTTTTTTTTTTTTTTTTTTTTGAGACGGAGTCTCGCTCTGTAGCCCAGCNTTTTTTTTTTTTTTTGCATAAAACAACTTTTTCTGCAATGGTTGAAAATATTCACATAAGTACAGATGAAATGTTGCAGTTATGAAAATATATGTACAAAAAAGATATTTATTGTCTTGCGCTTGTGCCCTCACTTTCCAAGTCAACTTCCCCTATGATTCTGTTCAGATCTACGAATGAACATAAATAACTTTTCTCGGTAATATTTTTTTAAAATAACATTTAAAATTAAAGGTATATTGTTAGAACAAATTTGGTAATTTCACAACCGTTATTTCATATTATCGTTTACCAAACGGGATAATATATTTAATATAATTTATGTATGCATGACATTGTGCATGAAGCTGACCGGTATGTTCTTATTCATTTAACGAATCTATTTAATCAAAACTATTAATAGTATATTATTGTAATTTTCACCAAAAAAATAATAATTAAAAGAAAGTTAATAATGTTAGATCGCTGATTTAACAAGTTTATCTTAAAATGGTAGTAACAAGGTATCATCATAGAAGCTTTTAGCTTTAGACTCTTAATCTGGGAAAAAAATCAGAAACGTAAAAGTAATAATAGAAAAGAATACTAATGAGGAAAAATAAATATTACATATACCTTTAAATTAGGGACACAAAAATAATTTTTAGGAAAACAGCACTTTTATGACATTTATTAATTTTACGTTGATGATAATAAAAAATATGGAAACTAATGAGGGAAAACTGGATATTCCCATATGATAATATATATGCATCGACAACAATGGAAAACTGCTTTTGATCATTATGTTTTGATGTTATATAGAGATATTTATCACATTATTTTTCGCTTTTTATAAATTGCTTAAAATTTTCCTTGTCTTTCTGGAATGTTTAATTCTTTTTCGCCAAGTGTGTACAGCATGCAAAAAAATCCTTCTGACAAAGAATGCGTGCAAAGTTTGAAAACATTCCTTATATCTGCTTCAAGTTTTCTTATTCCTCAACACATAAAACAATAGATAACATCGTGTTAAATAGGAATTTCTCAAAAGATTATTCTAAAAGTATAACTCTAGAGCCATGGTTCCCAAATGGGTATCCATGCAAAGATATAGCAAGGGTTCCTAAAGTTAGTTATTTTTAAAAGCAATAATAATTTTATGTTTTTAACCAAGCAATAAATCCATAAATTATTTAATATTTTGGTTGTTTATAAGAAAATTAAGTTAAAAGTAAATGATAAACAAGGGAACAAAATTTAGAATTTTTTATTTAAATGACACTATATTGAATATTATAATAACATAACATAACATAAAAAATACAATGCAGACTTTTATGCAGCCTACAGAAATGCAGGAGTTTAAATTTGTTCAAAAATTATGGCAATTTCTAGTGACTCTTCGTGTTTCTTTATTTTCTCTTGTTCATTTGCTTATCTAAAAATATTGATTGTTTATTTACGATTGTAGAAAAATGTATGTCTGCTGAGATTATTACGGAATATTCTTGCATTTGGTACATATCTTAATATTTAAATAGAACTTTTTAAAAATTTTAAGAAAATTAATTCTAGAGATAATAGTCATTTCTAATTTGACCTCTGAAATTGTTACAAGTCTTGTTAACGTGTAAAATCATTTATCTTTTCTGCTTGATACGAGCAATCTGCATTCCTACTTTTATTTATCGATTATCGTATATCGATATACGATATTCGAATCATCGTATATCGATATACGATAATTCGATATCGATAAATCAATATTCCACGTATTATGGATATTTTATAAATGATTCATATATAGAAGAAAGGTTTTTAGATAATTTTTTGTTAACTTTAAATTCTATTAAAAAATATTCTTTGTTTTTGCAGAAAATAGCGCTTTTTAATATGATTAATGACAAGTAACTCTAGTAGGTTGGTGAGATGTTCGAACAGGAGGATGTAAGGCTTCTAATTCATTTAAATAGTTCGTTGGTGAGATTTTAAATCTGGACCCAGTTCGAAACGCGTGTTTACAGAAATAGACAAATCGTTTGATTAAATTGCAAATTTTTTTGATGAGGGTTTGTTCTTTCTAATTTTTAATGAAAAAAACTAAGGAAACTAAATAATGTCATAAAGCAATGTATTCTTTTTGTATACACTTTGTACAATTTAGTAATTTAGTTCTCATTTTTTTAAAAATATTAGAAGTCTGCAGTTTTTACGGGTACTATAAAATTATAACAGTTGTTTTAAATTTACGTTGTGGGAGTTTGGAGTTAACTGAAAATGAGCTTTTTCAGCTAAAGTCCATTTCCGTGAGCACCACATTTCGAGCTATGTCGAGATTAAAAAACTCTTAACGAAACGTTGAGCCTGCATATTTTTTTTCTCTTTTAAATTTAGATGTAGCTCTTATGTTGGAAGACAGCCAAGCAACTATCAACCTCAACCCGTATCACTTGCAGATGGATGCCATCGCCTTGGAGCGGTTCTCCATGAACTTGGGCATGCAATTGGACTCTTTCATGAACACGGCAGATATGACAGAGATAAATATCTTGCAATTCACTTAGAGAATGTGGATGAGAGTAAGACTCCTTTCTGAATAACACCTTACATCTTTTTTTATCTCTCTCTCTCTCTATATATATATATATATGCACGAAGCCAATGAGGAATATTATATATATATATATATATATATATATATATATATATA